CTCAGCTACCAGGCTGCTACAGCCAACCCTCTGTCACCCCCTCCATTCCCCTCTCCAACCCTCCCTCCCCCCCCCTCCCCCCCCGTGTAACAAGTTCTGATGTTCTCATTGATGCCCAATGCCAGTAATAGTGCAGGAACCTGGAGCCTGCCCATCAGGCAAAATTCTTACCTGGTTTTGGTTTGAATTCCCTTCCTCAGCCTCCCTTACAGGGCATCTCTCGCAAAGCTGTAAAGGCCACTTGGCTTCCCTTCCCTGCAGTGTGCAATCATCATTCAAAGGTTCCCTGCTTTTGAGCCTCTTCTGTGTTGATCCTCAACTAACTTAAGAGCATCACGTGTGATGCAAGGGCCTCCCTACAGATTTTTCTAGTGCAGGCCCTTCTCCTGCAAAATGGCTCATGAACATGGACTCATGTTTGGGGATGGGAGGGGGAACAGACTCACCAGTAGCAACACTGATTCCTTCCCAAAGAGCTTCTCCATGTTGCAGAGAACACGGGCCGACCTGGATGTTGAAATCTGGAGGAAGGTCCATGACTATCCTGTTGGCAAACATTGATAATTCCATATGGACAGTATAGGATCTTCAAGAGACGAGGCGGATGAAGAGAAATTTGTTTACAAGCAGAGGGGTTCTCAATGACTGTGGGACTTTTTCCGGTCCCTCATTTGTGCATGCATTAGGGCAGAGTTCCTCTGGGTGGTATCTACTGATTCTTCCCAGGGCAGTGGGGGTTGCCCTGGGTGCTATGGTTGGTGTCACCCTCTGGATCCTTCGTTTTGATCCTGTGACCTGCATTCCCATTTCTGTTTTTCCATTCGTTGTCCCCCTAATCAGTTAAATTCTGAGTTCCCTTCATCTGGAGGGGTGGGCCTTTTGTTTTTCTAATGGGCTCCACCCACCATCCCAGAATTCAAATAGGTTCATGCTTTGCAAATGGGTTCTTTGTTTCCTTTCCCTTTGGAAAGGGGAGAAACAGAAGGGAGTGAAGAGAGAGAGGAAGAAGAAAGGAAGTAGAGAGAAAAATGGAAAGTTGGAGAAACTGGCAAAAGAAAACGAAGGAAGTATTTTTTCTCCACAGAAAAAATAGCCAAACTATTTTTGCTAAAACTTTACCAAAACATTTACCTTTGGGCCAAAATATCAGCCTAAAAGATAAAAGTTTTGGAAAGTTATGACTGAAAACAGGGGATTTGAAAAATGGGAACAGTTAGGCAACCTAAACTAGAGGTATCATTAGTGTTCCACCTATAACAGGAATCTCCGTCCTTAGAGGTTTTTAAGGCCCGGCTTGACAAAGCCCTGGCTGGGATGATTTAGTTGGGGTTGGTCCTGCTTTGAGCAGGGGTTGGATTAGATGACCTCCTGAGGTCTCTTCCAACCCTAATCTTCTATGATTCTAACAGTATATGATCCTCAAAGCACAGACTAATGTAACAACACAGGCTTTGAGGGTATGTCTATATGCGATGAAAGCCCATGCTTGAACCTGGGCTCAAGCTTAACCCCCTTAGCTTCTACACTGCAATGGTCCTAACCCAGGGCTTGGACCAGGGGTCTGTGCAGAAATTTAACTTTGACCCCTTTGGGGCGGGGGGGGAGGGGCACATTCTGAGTCCCCCACCCCCACCCCAGCAGGAGCTCATTCTTCCCTTGTATATGCCCCTGGCTTCATAGAATATCAGGGTTGGAAGGGACCTCAGGAGGTCATCTAGTCCAACCCCCTGCTCAAAGCAGGACCAATCCCCAACTAAATCATCCCAGCCAGGGCTTTGTCAAGCCTGACCTTGAAAACCTATAAGGAAGGAGATTCCACCACCTCCCTAGGTAACCTTCCAGTGCTTCACCACCCTCCTAGTGAAAAACTCCAGGACCCTGCAGGGCCTGAGCTTGAGTTAAGCCAGGACCCAGGGTCTGAGCCCTGTTGCTTTGCAGGGTAGCCACAGCCCTGCTTGAGTCAGGCCCCAGGAGTTGGCTGGAAGTATCCCACAATTCCATGGGACAACTTCCTTAGTCCTCTCTATCTCTCATGCTGCAATCTACTCTATTGAAAATGGAAGCCACCCCCACTTTTTCAAGGGCAGATCTCAGGTCAGCATTAACACATTCCGATCTGCAAGCTCACTATGAGAGAGCCTCCTCAGTTTGCAATGGAGAGCGAACTGATCAAGCCTTTTGCAAAGCGAGCTGCTTCCTGATAACATGTTTTCCCACAGTGCACCACGGTCCTAGGGCTAGAGTAGCCACATGTCAGAGGTGGGGTAGAGGGTGCTAAGGACTCTGGGTATGATTACTTTGACTCAGGTCTGCATACTGCTATGTGGACACCAGAGACCTAGGCTCAGATTAGAAACATCTTAATGTGGGGTTAAAATACAATGTAGATGCTCAAGCCCAGTGTTCCCTAATATAGGCCAGTTGACTCAAACCCCTGTCTCTGAGCTTACATTGCAGTGTAGACATATACCCACAGGGGGCAGAGCTAATGTTGCATGTACAGCCTCATGTGGTAGTTCTTGTCTTTCAACTGGCTTAACTTGGCAACTTTCAGCTCAGGCTACCTAGTCTCCACCTACCAGTGCTGATGAACATAGGCACCAACTCCGTGGGTGCTTGGGAAAAAATGGTGGGTGCTGAGCACCCACCAGCAGCCCCCCTATCAGCTCCCCCAGTGTCTCCCCCCCCCCAGTGGACCCCGACAATTAATGCCTCCCCCTCCCCCCCAGCACATTCCACCCACCGTGATCAGCTGTTCTGCACCATACAGGAGGTGCGGGGGGAGGGGAGGGAGGGAGGGAAGAGGGGAGGAGTGAGTGTCTGGTGTACTTGGGGAGGGGGTGGAATGGGGCAGGAAAAGGCGGGGACTTGGTTGGAGTGGGGGCAGGGCCTGAGGCAGAGCCAGGGATTGAGCACCCCCGGCACATTAGAAAGTCAGCGCCTATGACGACAAAGGACAGAATGCTTTCCTGTACTTTTAATCACACATTGTGATGCTGATTCTAGCTACCACAGAAAAAAACACTCTGCTTTCCAAGTTTTTTTATTAGACAAATAACATGCTGATCGTGATCATTCCCTGCTCATCATTAAAGGCCCAATCCTTCAAAGTGCCCAGCAGCTTACAGGACTGGGTACTGTGATTCCATGTGCCAGCCGGCATCATTAGACACAGAGCTAGTGTGTTTATATTGGAAACATGAAACCAGTTCTAAACCAATTCTTTCTCTCTGGAGTACATTTCTCCCCTTGCACCTGGACAGTCTACAACTACAGAAGCTGTACAAATTTTAAGCAATAAGCAAAGCTGCAGGCTTTTGTATCAGGGACTCAAAGCATGGCTTATAACCTTGATATGAAGGCTAGGGATTTCATATGAGCTGAAGGTAGTTGGTGCTTAACTCCCTTGGGTTCCTTTGAAAAAGAATTGACAATCAAAAGGAACAAGGAAGGGATGATTAAAGATCTGGCTCTCTCAGATCAAGATTGTGGCTCCCTTACACAAGTGGCGAGTTGTTCCACTGGAACCAATAAGACTACTTCAATAAGTCTTCATTAGTAGAGCTGGGTGAATTTTTTCTGGTGTATAGTTAATTCGCCAAAGAAAAGCAGTTGCAGGTTAACGGAAACTGATGGCGAATTCGGGTTGAATTTGGCATAGTTTTGGCTGAAAAAAATTGGGGTGGGGGGGAAATGTTTCAAAGTTGAAACATGTCAACATTTTATTTAAAACTTCAGCTAGATTTAACTAAAAAAAAAAAAAAAAAAAAAAAAAAAAAAAAAAAAAAAACACCAACAACAACAACTAAGGGTAAAAGACCCCAAAACAAACATTTTGGATTGAACAAAGATTTAATTTGACCCAAAACAAAGTTTTTGTTAGCGGCGGCTTTGGTTTCTTGCTGAAATTTAAAAAAAAGTGTCATTTTGGGTTCATCTGAAAACAAAAAGCTTGTCAGATTTTTTGGGTCAGCCACCAAATCAAAAAAAGGCAATTACTCTCCCAGTTCTACTCACTAAAGTAAAGGCTCCACAAACTGCCCCTAAGGGAAGCCAGACTTAAGGTAGTTTGGGTTATTTAATAGTTACTTTCCACATTTTCTAATGTTGGGTTTCTTGTAAATTTAACCTTAGTATTGAATTGCCTGGCTTTTAGGTAACTAAGACACCTGTAGGGATTTTTACCCTTATTTAACTGATACCTACCCTCAGCCTTTACTGCCAAATTCAAGCTGATCTTCACCAGAACTCTCCAGGGTCCTTCCCATAAATTCCTATTTTTCTAGGAAATTTCATCTTTCTACTGCTACCCATTTTGGCAAGAGAATCATTCAAAAGAGTGTCATAAGAATTATTTTATAATTAGGGAATGTCACATATTTGTCACTCTTACAGTCTCAGATGTAGCAGAGCTACTTCCCCTTTTAAACTCCATGTGCACCTAAAAACAGAAACCAGGGCTTAGAAAATTTCAGCCTAACAGGGTGAAATTTGGGAGCAAAGGAAAAAAACCCCAACAATTATCAATAGAGGTTGCTGCTGCTGTAATAGGGCTCTTCTGTTCTCCATGCTCTGTCTGGGAAATACAACAGCTCATCACCATGTGACATTTCAACACAGTCACAATGGCTTCCAGGATTTCTAAAGTTGCCGGGAAATCCATCCCATTTGGGAGATGAGAGGTAAACCCACCACCCCCATACACTCAGATCAAGTGAGATTGAAAGAACCAACTCAAGATCCCTTTTCAACCCATTATTGAAGAAGCTGGCATAAAAGTCATTTAGGAGGCGTTTTCCAAGAGGATGGATAAAGCTAGTGAGTCTTTATTGTCCATCTTCCCTTCTGTGTACTGTGAAAACACATGCGATCCCTGGACCAGACTCAAGAAGAGAGAGAAGGGCATCTTATCTGCAATGGGAGGGAGAGATTCAGGTGCCACGCATATACGCTGTTTACCCATGAAAGCTGCTTGGAGTTTGTTGGATGCTGCTGATAGACTACTGCCATGGAGGACTGGTTCCATTGCTGAACTGTGGTTGTGGGGGTAACAGCAAAGGAAACACTTGCTCTGCCTTATGATCCTGTGATTTATCCTGGAAGAAAAGACAAAATCATTACCTGGTGGGTCTCCTTGCCACCATCTTCCTTCTCCATCCACTCCCTCAGCCCAGACAAAGAACCCCCACCCTGATACAGGCACTGACTTAATATCGTAAGTCCTCACCGAGTCGGAGGAGACAGCAGCTTTAGAAACGATGTTCTGGATTACAGAGAAGATCAGCATCAAGGCCAAGATGCCCTATGCCACACCGCCAAAAAGAGAGAGAGACAATTAGTGACACTATCCTCTATGGACTAATAGGGCCAAATCTGGTGTCAGCTACATCAGTGTAAATCTAGAGTTAATTCCACTGAAGTCAATGCAGTTTGGCTTCAGGGGAGTTACACCAATATAACCAAGAGCAGAATTTAGCCCACGGAGAGAAAGTAGCACAAGGGCCTGAATGGGGAGACCAAAAACAAAACCCTATCAGTTTGCATAAAACAAGACTTGAACGTTCTCTAATGTTTCAGAGAATTTGATGAGCATTTACTAAAATTATTTTCTAACAATGTTCCTCATGCTACCATGCATCCAAGTTCCAGGTAGTGCCTGTTGTCTTTAAACATCTCCCATGGTAATACTAAGGTCAAGGAGATTCCAGTGAATGTAGATAACTCTCCAAACCCAAGCGTTGATCCTCCTTAAATGCTGAGCCATCACCAGTTCTAAATAGCTCAGAAGACACAGAATTCATAGCACCTTGTGGAACCTCAGCACTTACCGTCTTGTAAGAACCGATGCTCTGACAGTAGTCCCAAGGGATGGGGCTTTCTTCACAGCGAAGAGGGAGAAGGAAGCTGACTAAGCGGATTTTATCCAAAATCGGGATGGAAACTTTATACTTGTTTAGAATGCAAATATTAATCAAATCAATTCCCAACATTATTCCTCCAGCTAATGAGGCAAGGAAGCTGATGGCATTCAACATATTGCTGCCTGCCTCCTGAAAGAGAGACGCAGAGGGCATAGGTTAGGACAGTCATATCAATACCCAGACACATGGCCACTGAGTTTTGAGCCATGTACATACATAAGCACAGCTACCCATATTTGCAACATTCCAGCCTTCTTTTGCCCTGTTCCCTCTGACTTCATCCCTCCATGCACAGATTAAGAGAACAACAAAATACACATATGGCAGGGAAGCACTTCCTTTTAATAGACAGAGTGATTAGCAACACTCTATAGTTAAGGTTGCCTGAGTGTGAAAGGGCTTTTTCAGTTACTTAGAACTTTGTCAAACTTTTCACTTTCTAGGCTGCAATTTTCCACATTTGTTTTAAGCCCATGAGTGAACTTTTGGGGAAAATGAACAAAAACAGTTCAGCAATTTTTTTTAAGTACTAAGAGAGTGAAAAAAAATTACATCGGAAATAAATGATTAAATTACTAAATGAAGGATGGAGAAGTCAGGAAATGGCAACGTTAAGTGTGCTAATCACACCTGGATTCTGTCTCCTTAATGGGCAATTTTACATAGTATCATAGGATTAGAGTTGTGCAAATCATGGATTTTTTGGTTCACTGGCAATTTTCAAAAATAAAAAAAATTGTTTTGATGTCAAATTGAAATAAAAAGTTTTCAGCAAATAAAAAAAAATTCATTTTGAGCCAAATGAAATGTTTCATTACAATTGCAAACATGTTAACATTTTCTGAAAATTTAAAAATAAAATTCGAGGATAATTTGATTTGAAAAGTCAGTTCAAACCATTTCAAAAATGTCAAAACATTTTTTTCTGAATTTTGCTGTTTGTTTTCTAAATAAACAATTCAGTGAAAACACGACGAACTGACAAAACACCACAAACTGGTCAAGTGTGTGTGCCTGCAATCACAGAGTTTGTGGAACAGGGTGGCACCCACCTCTTGCGAGTGCCCTCACGCCTGATGGTTTCTTTGGCGAGTCTTCAGTGACTCAGCCCTCCAGCCAAGCCCCACACACTGTCTGTAGGTGGAACATAACAAATCTCTTCCAGGGTATGCCCTCTTTACTTCCCCCGGTCCTGGTATGGGGCCATAGCCCCAAGGCTTCCTCTCTGGAGACACTGTCTTCCTGCAGCCCTCCCTGGGCTCAGTCCTTGTTCAGTCCCAGCAGCCAGCCAGGAACTCCTTCTTAGCACCCCCAGTTCCTTGCCACACTGAGCTGTCCATGGTCCTCTGCTTTTTCAGCCAACCAGGAACATGGTCCTCTCTTTTCCAGGTCCAGGCAACAACTGACTGTCTCCACTGCTCCTTTTTATATAGAACTGCTGTCCCCTGATTGGCCACTCCTGCAGTCACTCTAGGCCCTTGGAGGACTTCTCTTCTGCTCCTGTCTGGGATGGGGTGTGGCAGGATCACGAGGCCTCCAGCAGGGGCCCTTTGGGCCTACTCCACCCCATCACAGCACTGAAGATTTACACCCCAGCTTGCTGTGCACTAACTCTCCATCTAGATAAGCCCTTAGAATTCCAGTATCAGACTGGAAGGTGTAGGTGGCCATCTAGGTGCCATCCCCAACTCTCCTGAGATTCCTTCCTCTTCCCCAGAGAAAACATGGCATAGATCCACTTCCTGGTCCCTAATGGGACGATTAATGCCTCCACAGGCAGGTAAATATCCACATCCTCTGGGCCCTCTCCTTTTAAAGGGAAGACTAATTCTGCAGATTAATTTAGACAGGGTCCACAAGGGATCCTCAAACAAATGAAGTCTGGGGGCGGGGGAGGGAATCTGATTGGTCTCTATAAATACATCAAGTTGGTAAACACCAAGGATGGAGGTGAGATATTTACGCTAAAGGACAATGTTGGCAAAAGAAGGAATGGGGATAAACAGGCCATGAATAAATTTAGGCTGGAAATGAGAAGAAAGTTTCAATTCATTCAGGGAGCAAGGCTCTGGAACAGCCTCACAAAAGCAGGAGGGGGGGCTAACAACTCAACTAGTTTTAAGATGGAGCTTGGTATATTTATGTGTTGGATTCTATGATGGGGTTTCCTACCATGTCAGGTGCCTGGACTCGATTACCCAGGAGGTCCCTTCCAGTCCTATCTCCTATGTTCCTAAACAGCAGTTTTGGGGGAGTTATTTTAAATACCAGTCCAAAAGCTTTTTCCCCAGACCCAAGTATGGGTCCATGTGGCCTAGTGGTTAGAATTCCCAGTTTTCACCTAGATGGCTGGGTCTTGACGCCTGGTGTGGGGTGAAGATCCAAACCAAAATGACACAGCCTGCTCTGCTTCAGGAGGAAACAGCCTTCATCTCAGTTCACTGACTCCTGTCCAAGTCCCAAACGGAAACAAACAGAACCTTTTTCTCCAAGGATCAGATGGATCACTGCCCTCAGACCAGAAAGCTGTCGTCTCATAACTGCTGCAGACTGGACCTCTAGGAGGCTAATGAGCCCTAGCAGACTGATCTCTGTCCATTAACCCTTGCCTTCCCAGCCCTGAGTCCTATGGCTCTCTCATTCTTAGGTCCCTGAGCGATGGTATGTCCTGTCACACCCTGCCATATTAACCAAGCAGTTCAGATGGTGTTCAGTGAATGAGGCAGGAGGTCCACTCATGGAAGATTGAAGGATAAAGAAAAATATTGAGCAGAGCTGGCTCATTCACTGAGCTCCATCCAACCCATGCTCTGAAATCAGACTCGGTCATGCAGAATCATAGAATATCAGGGTTGGAAGGGACCTCAGGAGGTCATCTAGTCCAACCCCCTGCTCAAAGCAGGACCAATTCCCAACTAAATCATCCCAGCCAGGGCTTTGTCAAGCCAGGCCTTAAAAACCTTCAAGGAAGGAGACTCCACCACCTCCCTAGGTAATGAATTCCAGTGCTTCACCACCCTCCTAGTGAAATAGTGTTTCCTAATATCCAACCTAGACCTCCCCCACTGCAACTTGAGACCATTGCTCCTTGTTCTGCCACCACTGAGAACAGCCGAGCTCCATCCTCTTTGGAACCCCCGCTCAGGTAGTTGAAAGCAGCTATCAAATCCCACCTCATTCTTCTCTTCTGGAGACTAAACAATCCCAGTTCCCTCAGCCTCTCCTCATAAGTCATGTGCTCCAGACCCCTAATCATTTTTGTTGCCCTCCGCTGGACTTTTTCCAATTTTTCCACATCCTTCTTTTAGTGTGGGGCCCAAAACTGGACACAGTACTCCAGGTGAGGCCTCACCAATGTCGAATAAAGGGGAACGATCACGTTCCTCGATCTGCTGGCAATGCCCCTACTTATATAGCCCAAAATGCCATTAGCCTTCTTGGCAACAAGAGCATACTGTTGATTCATCTCCAGCTTCTCGTCCACTGTGACCCCTAGGTCCTTTTCTGCAGAACTGCTACCTAGCCATTCGGTCCCTAGTCTGTAGCAGTGCATGGCATTCTTCCGTTCTAAGTGCAGGACTCTGCACTTGTCCTTGTTGAACCTCATCAGGTTTTTTTTGGCCCAATCCTCTAATTTGTCTAGGTCCCTCTGTATCCAATCCCTACCCTCTAGTGTATCTACCACGCCTCCCAGTTTAGTGTCATCTGCAAACTTGCTGAGAGTGCAGTCCACACCATCCTCCAGATCATTAATAAAGATATTAAACAAAACCGGCCCCAGGACTGACCCTTGGGGCACTCCGCTTGAAACCGGCTGCCAACTAGACATGGAGCCATTGATCACTACCCGTTGAGCCCGACGATCTAGCCAGCTTTCTATCCACCTTACAGTCCATTCATCCAGCCCATACTTCTTTAAACAAACTACTGCAATAATGCAGATACACAAGGGGGCACCGTTAAAGCTGCATGGGCAACCTTAACTTTGGCATTTTCTAGCTTTTGCATACATGATGCCACATGTAATGCATATTTTTATAGAATCATAGAAGATTAGGGTTGGAAGAGACCTCAGGACGTCATCTTGTCCAACCCCCTGCTCTAAACAGGACCAACCCCAATTAAATCATCCCAGCCAGGGCTTTGTCAAGCTGGGCCTTTAAAACCTCTAGGAAGGAGATTCCACCACCTCCCTAGGTCACCCATTATAGGGAATCGTGTTTCAAGCAAACCCACATGTACTTCTGTAGCAACCCATCTCTCCTTGAGTGAGAGGGGAATTCATTCAATTCTGAGTTTGACCATTACATGCTCCTCCCTATGGGACACCAGCCATATCCCGGAGGGCATTCTTGACAGACAAGGGCTCGGATTTCTTCCCTTATTGTTAACCTGTAAGTATCTCCCAATAACAGGAAACTGCATAGCTCACCAGACCCTCTGTGATATTCGTTGCAGTTGCAGCTGCAGCTGAGAGGGACCCAGAAATGATGAACTGTAAAGAAAAGAGTAAATGATCATTAATTAAGGTGAGGGTCACTTTAAAGTTTTAGATAAAGAGCTCCTCCCCCGACCCATCCATAGGTCTGAACATTCCATCCACCCACCCCATCCATCTACATCCGCCAACCCCAAGCATACGTACCCATCCCTCTCACACCTATTCACAGCTTTCTCATCTGTCCATCTCATTGACTACATCCTTCCTGTGACAAACAGCCTCACGAAAGCAGGAGTGGGGGCTAACAACCCAACTAGTTTTAAGATGGAGCTTGGTATATTTATGTGTTGGATTCTATGATGGGGTTTCCTACCATGTCAGGTGCCTGGACTCGATTACCCAGGAGGTCCCTTCCAGTCCTATCTCCTATGTTCCTAAACAGCAGTTTTGGGGGAGTTATTTTAAATATCAGTCCAGAAGCTTTGTCCCCAGACCCAAGTATGGGTCCACGTGGCCTAGTGGTTAGAGTTCCCAGTTTTCACCTAGATGGCTGGGTCTTGACACCTGGTGTGGGGTGAAGATCCAAACCAAAATGACACAGCCTGCTCTGCTTCAGGAGGAAACAGCCTTCATCTCAGTTCACTGACTCCTGTCTAAGTCCCAAATGGAAACAAACAGAACCTTTTTCTCCAAGGATCAGATGGATCACTGCCCTCAGACCAGAAAGCTGTTGTCTCATAACTGCTGCAGACTGGACCTCTAGGAGGCTAATGAGCCCTAGCAGACTGATCTCTGTCCATTAACCCTTGCCTTCCCAGCCCTGAGTCCTATGGGTCTCTCATTCTTAGGTCTCTGAGGGATGGTATGTCCTGTCACACCCTGCCATATTAACCAAGCAGTTCAGATGGTGTTCCAGCAAACATGATTCTGGGATGTATTAACAGGTGTGTTGTGAGCAAGACACGAGAAGTCATTCTTCTGCTCTACTCTGCGCTGGTTAAGCCTCAACTGGAGTATTGTGTCCAGTTCTGGGCACCGCATTTCAAGAAAGATGTGGAGAAATTGGAGAAGGTCCAGAGAAGAGCAACAAGAATAATTAAAGGTCTTGAGAACATGACCTATGAAGGAAGGCTGAAAGAATTGGGTTTGTTTAGTTTGGAAAACAGAAGACTGAGAGGGGACATGATAGCAGTTTTCAGGTATCTAAAAGGGTGTCATAAGGAGGAGGGAGAAAACTTGTTCACCTTAGCCTCTAAGGATAGAACAAGAAGCAATGGGCTTAAACTGCAGCAAGCGAGGTTTAGGTTGGACATTAGGAAAAAGTTTCTAACTGTCAGGGTGGTTAAACACTGGAATAAATTGCCTAGGGAGGTTGTGGAATCTCCATCTCTGGAGATATTTAAGAGTAGGTTAGATAAATGTCTATCAAGGATAGTCTAGACAGTATTTGGTCCTGCCATGAGGGCAGGGGACTGGACTCGATGACCTCTCGAGGTCCCTTCCAGTCCTAGAATCTATGAATCTATAAATTCGCCCGATTACAGTGTCTTTGGCTGGGACTAACATGTCACTTCACCTACAGAAAGAAAGTTAAAATAAAACAACTTGGTCCTGTCCCTTGTATGTTGATTCAAGTGATCAGGGAGCAGCCAGTAGCCCCACTAGTGTGCCAGTGATCAGAAAGCAACCAGTGGCCCATGGCAAGACATATGACTGTGTCAAATCAAAACAAAAATAGGAACATCTTATGAAACATCTATGTCACTGTTCTCTCTCTCTCGCTTTCTGATAGAAGGATGTTGATTTATGATCTATTCAGCCCATAGGTAAATATGAGAATGCATCTGTCCAGCATGTCTATAATTAAGGTTGGATTCAGTTTTTCACTTAAAGCATGGATTCAACTGCTTTGTTGTCGCTGTCCAATATAGTATTTCTGTAACACACACTGAGTCTTTGTCACTTTCTAGTGGCTGGTTCATATAAAAAGTTTTAGACTTACACAGCTTCCAGCTATAGAACTTAGTTCTTTAGCATAATCAGTAGAGGCTTTCAGTGTTTCCCGGTTCAAATCCCACTGCTCGCCCTAGCAGGGTTGGTTACACATCATTCTCCAAATTGCAGGGGTGGAGTAAAGACTGAATTTGCTGAAGATTTTCAACTAAAATCCGCTATTTAGTTTCTCAGGGGAAAATAATTAAAAATGGGACCTTTAAGCCTCCCCCTCCCCAGCATCTCACCTTCTTTTGGACCTTGTTTGCTAACAAGTGACTGTGGTTTTTTATCCCTGACACCTCCCATATTGCTAAAACTCACTGCAAATTAGTGACAGTGTACATTTGAAGAAGTTAGGTTGCAGTTAAGCAAAGTTATGAAGGATCACTGTTTTTGCCATTGTTGCTGCAATTTTCCCATACTCAAAATGACTGCCATTTTCCATGATTTGCAATGGGATTGAAGCTACTCATGCCCTCAATAAACATGGTCACTGGCGTATGCCTCTACTAAAGATGGCTGCCACAGCCCATTGTTTCCATTGGAACTGAAGCCACAGATTGCCCTCAAGGAAGATGGCTGCCATTCCACTAAAGCCTTGCCGCATAAAAATGATGTTGCTTCTATGAACACTAAGGTTGCTAGGTGTCTCGTTTTCGACCAGAATGCCCGGTCAAAAAGGGACCTTGGTGGTTCCAGTCAGCACCGCTGACAAAGCTGTTAAAAGTCTGGTCAGCGGCGCAGCAGGGCTAAGGCAGGGTCCCTGCCTGCCAGGGCTCCGTGCAGCTCCCGGAAGCAGCGGTATGTCCCCGCACTGGCTCCTATGCATAGGGGTAGTGAGGGGGCTCCTCCACATGCTGCCCCCACCTCAAGCACCGGCTCTGCAGCTCCCACTAGACAGGAACTGCAGCCAATGGGAGCTGCAGGGGTGGTGCCTGTGGACGGGACAACGCGCAAAGCGCCGGGCCTCACCTCTACACAGGAGCCAGACGGGGGACATGCTGCCGCTTCCAGGAGCCGCCTGAGGTAAGCACCACCTGGAGCCTGTGCCCTTGACCCCCTCCCACGCCCCTACCCCAGCCTGGAGCCCCCTCCCTCACTCTGAATCCCTCAGCCCAGAGCCCCCTCCTGCACCCCAAACCCCTCATCCCCAGCCCAGAGTCTGCACCCCCAGCCAGAGCCCTCACACACACGCCCACCCCAACCCCTTGCCCCAGCCCGGAGTCCCCTCCTGCACCCCAAATCCCTCATCCCCAGCCCCACACTAGAACCCGGAGCCGGAGCCCTCACCCCCCTGCACCCCAACCCCCTGCCCCAGACCGGTGAAAATGAGTAAGTGAGTGAGGGTGGGGAGAGTGAGTGACAGAAGGAGGAGGGATGGGTTGAGTGGGGGCAGGGCTTCAGAGAAGGGGCAGGGTGGGGCAAGAGTGTTTGGTTTTGTGTGAGTAGAAAGTTGGCAACCCTAATGAACACAACTTCCCATTGTTTCTGATAGGATTGAAGTCAGGGACTGTCCTCGAGGAAGATGGCTGTGCCGTATGCTCTATGTTTAGAAATCTGGACAGGAAACCATGAGGAAGTAGTCTACGCTGCGGGCTCCCACTCAGTCAGAGGGAGTAGCAACTATGGTTGCAGAGGAGCTTTGATACTAGGTGCTTTCTGGCCTCGCTCGTAGCTCTGTGCCTTTGCAACCCTTGGAACTGTGGCTGGCCCAGAGAGCAGACACAGCACTTGACAGTCTACTCACACCTTGGAAAAGTGGGCAGAGTTATGCTGGAGGTAGGGGCAGCAGGCCTCTTCCTGGCATTTCCCTCACAACCACACACCACACTCAACCTACCGAATGCTAAGTGTTTGCTAGAGCTGCTGAGGTTTGGCCTCAGACTGAGGGGGATGAATGCACTGCCTGTAAAGTGTTTCCTTATCTCTTGAAGGCAGCCTGCCTCTATCAGTAGGACCATGAGGTGTGGGCTCTAAAATATAGTTAACAGACAGGCCACATTCCCTAGCCTTTAAGGGTTTGTGTCTCTGTGCCCCAGTGTAAGCCAGGGGCCACAAGTTACAGGGAGCTGTCAGGGATACGCTGCTGATCCCCCAGTGCAGTTTATAGCAGCTGGGGTCCTCAGGGACCATATATCAACTGGGTGTTGGCAGAACACCCCTGCCTGCCCCTCCTTAACCCTATCTTGCCTCTGCACTGAGGGATGTGGGGCAGGAGGAGGAGAAGTCAGCTCTGTTATTTGTCTGCCTGCTGGGGATTCCCCCATGTCAGGGGTATTCCCAGCAGGGGAAGATTCTGTTCATAGAATCATAGATTCTATGAATCATCATAGAATATCAGGGTTGGAAGGGACCTCAGGAAGTCATCTAGTCTAACCCCCTGCTCAAAGCAGGACTTATCCCCAGACAGATTTTTGCCCCGGATCCCTAAATGGCCCCCTCAAGGATTGAACTCACAACCCTGGATTTAGCAGGTCAATGCTCAAACCACTGAGCTTTCCCTCCCCCCTATTGCTCTGCCCAAGTGGTGTGATAGGGGTGCACCGAATCTGTGTGGCAGTATTTATGGAGATCACATTTAGAATCCATGAAGCCACCCCTCCACTGCTTTTCTCAATACCATGTTTATCCAGCCATCAATCCATAACTCCTCATCGTTCCTATCCCTAGAGCTAGCATCCATCTAGCCACCCCTGTGTTTCAGCAATAATAATTCCGTGTATTCCACTTACAAGTCCTGCTCCCCAGAATGGGTACCAGGAAGCCATGCACAGCGGGACAGATTCTTTTGAGGAGAAGAACAAGATGCCCCCGAGGCCAAGGTGTATTAAGGCGATGATGATCTGTATGGCCTGAAGGCAGAGAACAAGGTCAGTACAATCAGTAAGGTTCTCCTAATGATAAGCACTTACCCACCTCCGAAGGTGTCCAAAGCATTACACGCTAATTAATGAGACATTAATTACTTAAACCTCACAACTCCGTATGGAGTTGAAAGGGACTACCAGCTGCCATCATGGGCTCTTGGATCCAAACACAATCACAAACCTCATTACAGCTAATGGATGGGCCAAGCACATTCCTTCAGGCTCAACAGAAGGTGGACTCAAGCCCGTTTATGTAGTAAAGGCAGCAGAAAACAATGGAGGCTACTGCCCAAGGCAATAGGTGCATGGCAGGTCAGAACTAAACCATGTGGGCTGTGGGATTTTCCTGGTTGCAAACACAAAGGCTAGGAGATTGGTTGCAGCTCTATGTGTTGGAGGCAGAGAAAAGCCAGGAGAAGCAGTTGCAAGTGTGACCCTGAGAGGAAACTGAGACAGAGCTGTTTGGGCACAGAGCTTACTGGAGAGGCAGACATTGGGGATTTTTGAGCCAGGAAGCTGCACGCTACTGTTTGGTTCTACTGTGTTCAGGAAAGAGGACTTTGTGGACATTCTTTGTAAATAAATAAAAGCACACCAAAGAATATACCCGGCTTAGCATCAATTTCTCACCCTCATGGAAACAACTCAACAATGCCCTGAATATTGGCTAACTGCTCATGCCAAAGGCTAACAGTATAGATATTAAAGTGTGAGTATTAGGTTATTAAAAGAGGGGGAAACTGAGGCACTACAGCAGTTAAGTGGCTTGCCAGGACCTCACTGATTCAGAAATCGAGCATTATGCCCATGTTCCCAGGGGGATTAGAAGCATTGCAGAATGAGTTGTCCAAGAGGGTTTGGAAACCTCACCATAAAAAACCCGCCACCTTATGCAATGTCCTTAACTAGTTTGAATTGTCTCTTCCCCAGGCAAGGTGTGGGTGCATAGCATTAGCCTCTGCATTGGTGAAGATCAACCCCAATTTCCCCCCTCCTCGAGGCCATATCGTGCCCCCCATTTTGGCCCATGGGGTGGTGGTTCACATGAGGTTTGGCAGCCCCTTAGGGGAACAGCAGACATTCCTCCACAGTGAAATGGGTGCCCCATCTCCCTTGCACGCAGGTTTGAGAAGGTGGCAGATTTACCCCTAGTGCCTCATTCTTTCTTGGGAATTTCCTATGAGTGTCATCAGGGCAGTATGGGGGGATGACCAGGGTCACATTGTTGGTCGCAGTCCCGGGAAAGGCCATGGCATATCAACGGCTGATGGAGAAAGACACAGCAGAGACACGGCTTATCTAGGGAGAGAGATCAAGAGAGGTTAATTTATGAGCAATCAGATTACTATTGGGATCATTGTTACATCATGTTGACTTGGCGTGGGCTGTTCATCACCAGGGACATGGATCCCATGTCCAATCCTCTTGCAAGCTGGGGCACAGGGAGCGTTCTGTAGCACACAGGAAGGGCATGTCTTCATATCTTCCCCATGCCCCACCTTTCTGCGGGGGAACATAGGGTTACCACTGTATAAGGCCCCCTTTATAGCTACCAATTTGGTTTAAGGGCTGTTTTTCAGCTTACACTAAATGGGAAATCCATCTAGGGGCAGATTCTGACCTCAACTGCACCAGTGTAAATCCAGAGTCACTTTCTAAAAGCTGGTTGTTGGTGTAGCCAATGGCCTCCTCCCCACTGGGTTTCAGCTGGTGTAATAGAGAGCAGAACCTGGCCCTGACAGTCAGTGGCTACCCAAGGAGCACATTTGTACTGAATGACTGCAGGATGACTGGGTGAATCGGGAAGAGATCCCATCAAGCCAGTTGGCTTTATATGACTGCAGCTGTATTTCTTCTTGCTCTGTCTTTTAGGTTAAGAGTTTTCAAAACTGATCTTCAGTTTTCCTTGGAGGGCCTAGACATCCAGAGCCAGAGCCTCAGCTGAAGTCACTGACATCAGAAGAGGATCTGACGCCTAACACCCAATCAAGAGTGGATATAGAAAGGAGTATATGTGAAGTAGGTATGTGTCTAAGGATGTTTGTAATGCCTCATCCACTGGTGGACCCTTCCATTGCCTCAGTTTCCTCACTCTTCAGTCAAACCACCACAACTGGTGCATTTGAATTACGATCCTCTTCTCGGTCACAACATAAAACAACAGCTTAACTCAAAACCAAACTCACAGTCCATTGCATCCCTCCTTGGCTTCTAATTCCCTCTTAGGAGTTTTGCTCCTGCCCCATACACAGATAGCTCCAGCCAGGCATTTCCTTCTGGGTGGCCTAGATAATCTCTTCCCTGCTCCCCTATGGTCCCCTGCAGGTCTCTCTCACTTCCCAGGCCCCGAGTCTCCCTTCCACTCCTTTGAGTCTCTTCCTCAGCCTGGCCTGTATGTCCCAATAGGCTTGCGTCTGAATCGCATGCTACCACCATGTGACCCCAGGACTTTTTCCCTTCACCTGGGGAGATGGGCTAAGCCTGGCCCAAGTGCAGCTGAGCCCCGGCCCCCTTAAAGGGCCAGCTGCCCCTGTGACTAAGACTAAGGCCCAGATCCACAAAGGTATTTAGGCTCCTAACTTCCACCTTCGATGGAAGTTAAGAGTCTAAATACTTTTGTGGATCTCGGCCTAACTCCACACAGCCCTGCCCTTTGAGTTGCCATTCACATCCCTGCAAACTGAGTGTAAAACAGTGCCAGTCTGCTGTGCACACTCATTTTGCAGTGGTGTAAATGACAACACAAGGCACCAGGCAATGATGAATTAGACCCAAAGGCACTGAAGTTTGGGTGATGTCAACCAGAGTAGCTCCAGGGAAGTCAGTGGTCCTATGCCAATTTACACCAGCCTTAGGCTCACTTCTCATAGAATTATAGAAGATTAGGGTTGGAAGAGGCCTCAGGAGGTCATCTAGTCCAACCCCCTGCTCAAAGCAGGACCAATTCCCAAGTAAATCATCCCAGCCAGGGCTTTGTCAAGCCAGGCCTTAAAAACCTCTAAGGATGGAGATTCCACCATCTCCCTAGGTAACCCATTCCAGTGCTTCACCACCCTTCTAGTGAAATAGTGTTTCCTAATATCCAACCTAGACCTCCCCCACTGCAACTTAAGACCATTGCTCCTTGTTCTGTCATCTGCCACCACTGAGAACAGCTGAGTTCCATCCTCCTTGGAACCCCCCTTCAGGGAGTTGAAGGCTGCTATCAAATCCCCCCTCATTCTTCTCTTCTGCAGAGTAAATAATCCCAGTTCCCTCAGCCTCTCCTCGTAAGTCATGTGGTCCAGCCTCCTAATCATTTTTGTTGCCCTCCGCTAGACTCTCTCCAATTTGTCCACTTTCCAATTTCTTTCTTTTCCAGTTTCTCTCATTTACATGGGAACAAACCAGAAATAACCCAGATGAAGTCAGTGTGTGCAAGAGAGGAGAATCAGGTCCTTGGTTTTTATCTGCTAGCACAAGATCCTCTCTCCTCTGTGTCTGTAGAGCTCATTGCTAGTCTGTGCAACTGGACCTCATTCATTTCACAAATGCTATCTCGCTCCTTTCACAAGCCCCTTCTGATATCTTTGCTACATCTGGAGCTTGCTGCTTTTGACCACAGCATCACCGCAGCGCACTGAGAGTAGAGATGTTTTCCTTCCTGAGCAGCATTCAACACAAGCAGAGCGGAAGTAGTCAATGGTATTTCTTTGTTCTTATCAGCCTTAATAGAATGTACTGTTCTCTCTGGTCAGGAGAGGCCATGAAGTATTTTAAAAAGCTGAGATTACAGAATAAAGGGGGAAGGGACCGAAACCACTCTTGTCCTGACATCAGTTTCATGCATCTCCCCTGTTCCATTAAACAGAGCTAGCTAATGTGGGTGAGGGGCATAGGTAGCAGTCATCTGACTTGTGGTGTCCTCTGTTGACTGAGTTCCCATGGGGAAGCATACACCCTAGGGGTCCTTCTGCCTCCCAGAGCAACTTCAGTATCCGTGGTGCCTGAAAGAGCCAGGCAGGGCACAGGCAATAAGAACTCCTGCAACATAGCATGGGGAGGGGGAAATTCATCAGGATCCACAGAAGAAAAGAGTAGGGGAAGATGAGTTTATACAGCAAACAGAAAAATCAATCCTGCTGCCACTCCACACCTCCCATTCCCCCAGAGCTTCAGAGCCTGCCCCTTCTACAAACCCCCACATTCACCTCTGTCTCTCTCCCCACTCGTGCTTTGGAAAGGGGAGCAGCCACAGCTTGGAAAGGGAAGCATCTCCATTTTCAGGGCATGCATTGTTCGAGGGCAGAGAGCTTTGCTCCCTGGGTAAGCGCACATGGTGCAAAGAGGCATAATGTGGTCAGCCGGGCCCAACTCTACAGAGTGTAACTTGCCAATGTAACAAGCATGTTCATGGCTCCATCCTGCTCCTGGTGAAATCAGCTGGACTTGCACCATTGACTGCAAACCCTCCATTGCTCAAAAAAGCATGAGAGTTTGTTCTTGGTACAATGGTAACTCCTCTCCAATCACCAAATGGCATAAGGCAATATCTACCTAAGGTCTTTAGCTTCCCAACACCCCTGTGAGGCAGGGCAGTGCTGTTGTCCCCATTTTACAGACAGGGAACTGGAGCACAGAGATATTCAGTGACTTGCCCAGCATCACACAAGAAGTCTGTAGAAAAGCAGGAAATTGAACCTAGGTGTCCTCAGTCCCAGACGAATGTGCTAACCACTGAACAATCCCATCTCTCCTAGATCATACATGGAATTCCATGTAATAACCCTGTGCTTACCTAGGTATTTCTACAGCACTTATACCATCAGTGCAGTGAACTGTACTAAGAAGCATTGGATTGGGTTCTGATCTCATTTTAGCTGAAGTAAAATCAGGAGTAACTTAAACAGAGTCACTCCAGATTTAAACCTATGCCATTAGGATCAGAATTGGACCCCAAATGTGCCATAAATCACATGCCCTTCAACCCATTAATTCCAGGGGCATTGCATATGAGGTAAGCTAGGGTGAAATTTGACCCATTCATGGTAACATTAATTTCAGAACCACATTATCATTCACCCTGAGAGTCAAAAAGCCATTTCATCCATTCCTCAGAGCTCGGAGAAGAATCTCTTGACATTCCTGAGCTAACAAACTTTCATTAAAGCTTCTTGCAGGTAAGAGACTGTGAAATTATTGATGCACATTAGCTAGTACATGAAATTAACAGGATACCTGTCCCGTCAACCACCAGCGCCGCCTTTGTCGTGTTGCAATGAAGAGCTGGACAAGGTCCAAATGGAGATTCAAAAAGCCACTTCCTATTCCTTGTCTGAGTGAAGACAAACAGGAGAGCAGAGCTGGGACCCAGCTTTATCTCAGGCAGCAGAAATAGAGAAGGAAGATGCCTCCAAAGGAAACATAGGATTTATCTGCCTTTCTTTCAGGCTTCTTGCCTCTCCTCTTAGCTTCTTGTAGCCAACTGGGTGCTCAACTTGTGCTGCACGGTCATGTGGTTTCAGAATACCATCAGAAACAAAACATTCATTTCCTGCAGAACAAAAGAAAAGGAACTAGACGTGGTGAAATGATGATTTTAGTGCCACAATGGGTGGCCGAGGGAAGCAGCCAAACAATCAAAGATCAGAGCATCTCTCTGCCCCAAGGGCTGTTCGTGGGGAACACTCCTAGTCCCATTACAGCTGATTAGGAGTTTTGCCTTTGACTTCAATGGGACAGGACTCTTTGGCCCAGATCTTCAAAGGTGTTCAGATGCCCAACACTCATTGATGTCACTGGGAGTTAGAGGCCGTTGAGGATCTGGGCCTCAGTGTTTAAAAGAAATCCGTGGAGCAGATTTTCTACTAGTGGGGGGGGGGGGAGCTCTGTTGACTTCTCTGGAGTGTCATCCATTGGCATCAGCAGAGAAATTTTTCTGTGTGTGTGTGTGAGTGTGTGTGAGTGAGAGATGTACACTCAGTGGCTCTTTGCAGGCAGGTACCCTGAGTTTGTCTGTTGCTGCTTCCCATTTGGTTGGAGCTATCTCCATCCAGCCATTCCCGAGACACGACCGGCAAAGGCTTCTTTAGCGCAGAGGCTGTTGATCAGGGTGTGGTGAGAATGCTGCTGTCCACACTCCCTGAAAAGGCTGGAGGGGTCAGATTGCTTCACACTCAACCGGCTTTCAGCCAGCTGCTGGTGGCCCCTAAGAAAGTTGTCCAAGAGTCATGATTGGCTGGGTTGGTCCTTGCCCATCAGTCAGTTGCCAG